AAATGCTGTTTGCAAGAATCATGACTAAATCAAGGCAACTTAAAATATTAAACTATCGGCCAGGTACCATGGCACATGCCTGTAATCCCAGCACTTTGGGAGGCTGGGGCAGGCAGATCACCTGAGGTCAGGAGTTCGAGACCAGCCTGGCCAACATGGTGAAACCCCGTCTCTACCAAAAATACAAAACTTAGCGGGGCGTGGTGGTGGGCACCTGTAATCCCAGCTACTCGGAAGGCTGAGGCAGAACTGCCTGAACCCAGGAGGCGGGGGTTGCAGTGAGCCAAGACGGCATCACTGCACTCCAGCCTGGGCAACAAGGGTGAAACTGAGTCTCAAAAAAATAAAAAATAAAATAAAATAAAATATTAAAATCTAAACTATAGTCAAAGGTTATAAAATAAATGCAAATGAATCCACACTGAGATATCATCTTGGGCCAGCCACAATGGTTATTATTAAAAAGACAAAAAATACCATGCCGGCGAGGATGTGGAGAAAAGGGAACTACACACTGTTGATGGGAATGTACGTTAGTACAGCCACTGCAGAAAACAGTATAGAGACTGCTTAAAAAACTAAAAATAGAGATACCATACAATCCAGCAATCCCACCTCTGGGTATTTATCCAAAGGAAAATAAATCATTATGTCAAAGGGATACCTGCACCTGCATGTTTACTCCAGCAGTATTCACCTCACCCAAGATACGGAATCAACCTAAGTGTTTATCAGCAGATAAATGGATAAAGAAAATGTAATATATATACATACACACACACACACACACACACACACACACACACACACAATGGTGTACTATTTGGCCATAAAAAGAATGAAATCGTGTCATTTGCAGCAACATGAATGCAGCTGGAGGTCACGACGTGAAGTGAAATAAGCCAGGCACAGAAAGACAAGGATCACATGTTCTCACTCACATGTGCTAGCTAAAAAAGCTGATCTTATGGAGGCAGAGAGCAAAATGATAGATACCAGAGGGCGGGAAGGGTGTGTGGGTGGGAAGGAGGTATAAAGAGAGGTTGGTTAATGGGTACAAACACACAGTTAGAGAGAAGGTATAAGTTCCAATGTGCAATAGCTGAGTAGGGTGATAATGGTTAACAATGTATTGTGTATTTTGAAGTAGCTAAAAGAGAGGACGTGAAACATTCCCAACACACAGAAATGATGATACCGCCTAATACCCTGACTTGATTATTATACATTCTATGCCCCTTAAATATGTAAAATATTATCTATCAATACAAATAATGTCTTCACCTAGCCAAAAAAAAAAAAAAAAAAAAAAAAAAAAAAAAAAAAAGAAAAAAAGAAAAATAAGATGTCACACAATTAATATCAGACAATAGAAGTAAAAGCAAGTAACAAATGGAACCAAGATAACTTTGTATGGAGTACTTCACAATGAATCTATAACTGTTACAAACTTCTATATACTAAATATGTAAGGCAGAAACTACTAGAAATATAAGGGGACTGTAACATATACTTCTTTCTGGATAGATCAAGTTGTCAAAAACTCATAATTTGAACATTACAACGCAATTATAAGATTAATTTGAGACACTGCACCTTCTTTTCCAGCATGCACCACGAAACATGTATAAAAACCGATGTTACATTAAGCCACAAAACGAATCTCAAAAATTAGAGAGGACTATGTTTTTAAAAACCTAAGCCATTCATACAAGCATTATTCGTAATAGTCAAAGAATGGACACAATTCAAATGTTTATCAAATAAACAGATATCGGGAGGCCAAAGCGGGCAGACTGCCTGAGCTCAGGGATTTGAGACCAGCCTAGGCAACACGGCGAAACCCCGTCTCTACGAAAAATACAAAAAAATTAGCTGGACGTGGTGGTATGCACCTGTAGTACCAGCTACTTGGGGGGCTGAGGCGGGAGGATTGCTTGAACCCGGGAGTTCCAGGCTGTAGTGAGCCAAGATCATGCTACTGCACTCCAGCCTGGGCAAAAGAGCCAGACCCTGTCTAAAAAAACAAATGGATAAATAAAACGTGGTACATCTGTACAGCGGAATATAATTTGGCAGTAAGAAGGAATGGGGCAACACGCTTGGGTCCGCTTCCACGCTGTGGAAGCCTTGTTCTTTCGCTCTTCACATTAAATCTTGCTGCTGCTCAAAAAAACAAACGAACAAAAAAACCAAACAAACAAACAAAAAAGAAAACATGGTGCTATGAGAAAGAAGTCAGTCATAAAGACAGCATATTGTATGATTCGATTTATATGAAATTTCTAGAACAGGAAAATGTGTGGAGACATAAAGTAGATTAATAGTTGCCTAAGGCTGAAGGTGGGAGAGGAGGGTTGGCTAGAGGGAAATGGGAATGACTGCTCATGGGCCTGAGGTTTCTTTATGGAGTGATAAAAATGCTTTAAAAATGACTGTGGTGATGTTTTGCACAACTGTGAATATTACTAAAAACCAGTGAATTGTACACTTTAAATGGATTATGTATTAATTATATTTCAATAAACTTTTAAAACTAAAAACAAAAGCCTAAGCCCTTGAAAACAAAAAAAACACTATCTTAAATAACATTTGCATAAAAGAAAAATTAAAACTATAGAGAGTATTTAAAGAATATCACTGACACCATTACACACCAAAACGTGTAGGATGCAACAAAAGCAGCAATTAGAGGAAAATTTATAGCCTTAACTGTTTTCTATGTTAAAGCGAAAAAAATAACAAATACACAAATAAACCAATAATTCAACTCTAGTAGTTAACAGAAATGGCAAAACAACTTAAACTCAAGGAAAACAGGAGAGATGAATTATAGGAGACACACATGGAAAGTTCATATTTCATTATGTTTAAGATGTCACCTTTTATCAGGTGTGTCTTTTTCTATGTATCACTAAGAAAAACTGCTGCCAATTAAACAATGTCACAATGCTTTGTTATCAATTGCAAGACGTATCCCAATTTCAGAAGTGTTAAAATGTGGAAAGAAAATGCACATCTTTGACTGATAAAATATAGTAAACTAAAAAGCAGAAAGACAGTATAACTGAAAACAAATCCAAAATTTCATCTTTGGAAAGACCAATAGACAAGGAGGTAAATTTTAAAAATTTAAAAAAGAAAGAAAACAAAAAATACAAAGTATTAGAAATACTAAACTATTAGAAATACTAAAGCAAATATAACCTTATTTATACATATTTTTATATATAAATATATATATTTCTTTTAGTTTTTTTGTTATATTTTAGTATATTTTGTTCTATATTTTTAGTTACATTTGCTTTAGTATTTAGTGTATATACACAGAGATTCAAATTTATAAGATAATACTGTATCATCAAAAAATTAAGAAAAAAACTCTATGCTAATAATATTGAAAATTTGGATCAAATGGACAATTTTCTACTAAAAAACAAATTTTCCAAGTTGGCTTTAAAAAAATTAAATATTTTAATTAATTTTTAATTAAAAGAATTAGAAAATCTACGTAAACAATGCTCATGAAAGTAATTTTAAAACTGTCAAAAACGTAACTTCAAAAAATTGCACTAGATCCCCTGAAATATCAGGAGTCACTTCTATATAATATTGGTTTCCCTTGTTATTAGAATTTTTTTAGATCATAAAAGATCAAAATTTTTTTTTATAAAATTGGCATAACCCTGACATCCAAACTACAAGAAGTATTTTTCACCTATCAAATTGGCAAAGACAAAAAAGAAAGAAAGAAAAAGGAAAAAAAAAAAAACTATGAAAAAGCATAGTATTTGTAACGTGGGAGAAACAGGCAATTTCATCCCCTTCTGATGAAAGTACAAATTGACACAACTTCTCTGGAGTGCATTTTGGAAATATACATGAAAAGGCATAAGTTTTTGCACACGTTTTGAAGCTGTGCACACTTCTAGGAATTTATCACAAGGTAATAATCATAACTACATGTGGAAAGCTTTTGCAATAAGGATATTCACTGAGACATTTTAATAGCAAAAATGTAGAAACACCTTAAATCAGGGGTTCCCAACTCCCCGTTAGGAACTGGGCCACACAACAAGAGGTGAGCGATGGGCTAGCAAGCATTACTGCCTGAGCTCCACCCCCGTCAGATCAGTGGCAGCATTAGATTCTCATAGGAGCGCAAACTCCACTGTGAACTGCACATGTGAGGGATCCAGGTTGTGTGCTTCTTATCAGAGTAATTATCTGAGGTGGAACAGCGTCATCCTGAAACCACTCTCCTCAGCCCACTCTCCATCTTGGAAAAACTGTCTTCCAGGAAACTGGTCCCTGGTGCCAAAAAGGTTGAGGGCTGCTGTCTTAAATGGTCAATATGGGAGAGCAGATTCAAGTTTGACAAATTCATCTGATGGGACTGAGTCATAGTACCGAAAAGTAGATAACATTTTAAAGATAAAAATAACATTTTTAGGATAGAGTAAACATACATATTTTAGATATGCCCAAATGAATAATGAAGCAAACATCTTTAGGTGAGATAACAAAAGCTATTAACTTTTTTCTCTAATTCCTTACAATTAACATGCATTATTTTCGAACCAGAAAAAGTAATAAGCATTACTATAATTGTATTTGTACAAATATGAAATATACTAATAATGCCCAGAGAACCAGAACAGAGGGTTTGTGCTTGACATGCCCCAGTTCAGGGGGATGTGGATGAACCAGTAAGAGTCTTATCACTGTCACTGAGACCCATCTGGGCTGCAGCCTGGGGAACCTTGGGGCCCACAGGTCTTTTATATAAAAAGCAGAACATCCTTTGTATATCACCCTAATCCAGGTTTCCATCCTTGGGAAGTATCAACAGCCTGTTCCAACCCAAGGAGCCAACCAATTGCCTCTTTATCTATGGGCCATGTCGCTTCCTGGAAATTTCTCAAGTAGAAACTGTAAAAACATCTTATTTGGCACAGAGTAGGCTTCTTAAAAAATAATAAGCCAATTCAAACTCCTACCTAGATAGGGAATACTTGGAACCATCTTCAGGCTTCGGATATATTCCCGTGTCCGCTTGTAATTATCTTCTTTCGACATCAGGTAGTCCAATTTCTCAAAGGTAGTCTTGTCTTTTCGATTCAAAAGCTAGAATGAGAAGAAAATATAGCAAAATAAATAAACCAGAAGAAGCTAAAGAGTGGATAACTGTAGATGAATGCTAAAAGGGAAAATCCTAAGTGGCACATCTATGGTGTGTCAAATCCTGGACAGAACTAAGGATTTTAAAAGGCTGTTTCATGCGTATGAGGTAGAAGGCAGGACTCGACTCCAGAGGTGGGGCTTGGACACTGGACCAAATTGAGGACTAGCTAAACAGGGACGAGGCAGAAGCAGTTTTCTATGAGATACGCCCACCAGTGTGCCATGTCAGTTTACCACTGCCATAGCAACACCTGGATGTTACCACCCCTTTCCATGGCAATGGCCTGAAAGTTTTTCTAGAAATTTCTGCAAAATCTGCACCTTGATTTGCATGTAATTAAAAACACATATAAATATGACCTGCCTCTGAGCTGCTACTCTGGGCACACTGCCTATGGGGTAAGCCCCATACCACAAGGAGCAATATCTCTGCTGCTGCTGCTGCTGTACACTGCCACTTCAATAAAAGCTGTTGTCTAATACCACGAGCTCGCCCTTGAATTCTCTCCTGGGCAAAGCCAAGAACCCTCCAGGGCTAAGCACCAATTTTAGGGTTTGCCTTCCCTGCATCACAGAGATGGAAAACTTCAATCTTGTGATCCTCACAGAATCTCACACTTGGAAGCTACCCCCCAAAGCTACCTGGCCCACTGTTCTACATGATGTCAGAATCCCCCAAATAACAGCAGCTTATGGGTGCAGAGAGCCTACAACAGCAAGGTGCTAAGGTAGAAAAGCAAACTGCTCAGGGTCACCTGAAGACTTATTTCACAGCTATACCAGGTCTCTTTCCCTGCATCCACAGCTATTTGCTCTCCTCACCATCTCCATGGCTGAAAGTCCTAGTAAGTTCCACACAATTCATATGCCCATGTACACAAAGCCAAGCCATCGCTCAAATCTAGGCTACATCCTCCAGATCCCCCACAGCCAACTGTGTCATATTTACACTGGATGTGGTAATTTTAATCAAAAGACGACAACCTTCTTTTCTCTATGCAGTTATCGAAGGGGCAACTTAGTTAAGCAAATACAGAATGAACAGGTATCCAGAGTCAGAGGTTAGGGAAGCAAAACCCTTTGTGACTGAGATCTCTGGTATGTAAAGCTGGCCACCAGGGAAACAGTGGCTCAATGGGCATTTGAAGCCTTCTCAAAAGAAAGGAACAGAAACCAGAACTCCTGGCTTTCAAGACTTTATGCTAAGGACTCAGGCTGTGGTCAACCTGAAAGTCGCAAGTCAAGGCCCAGTGCCAGAAAATGGCAACATGGCTGACTGAACACGGCTTTAAGGAAAGAAGTCTAGGCAGAAAGGCCAGTCTTAAAAGGAGGAGCTGGGGGAGGGGTGGCTGAAGCAAAGTATGAGGCTGATGCTGGCAGCATCCCTGAGTCTAGCTGCCAGGGCCCAGTGCTTCCGGGATTGGAGGTCAATGGCTAAGCCCAAGAGGATGAATAAACAGAAGACCCAGGGTTGGAGTCCCTTTGGCCAAGGCGTTCAGACCTCGGTGGTCTGTGCAAGGATCGAGAACAAGAGACCCACCACGTTCATCAGACTGACGTAGGCCAGTGTTCAAAAGCCCCGTCGTGCAATGGAGGGGAGTGGGACAATAACTGCCTAGCACCTGGGGAAGCCGTGCAGTTCCTGAGACCTGGGTCTGCAATTCCCAAACTCAGGCCATGTCTGGTGCATTAGGGAGCCCTAGGCTGCTTTGGGAAGGCCCTGCCTGGTTCCTTCATCTTCAGCCTCTGGGGCTACAGAGGATGCAGCCATGAGACAGCCCACTTGCACAGGAGCAGTGGTAGCTTACGAACTTCGATAAGGAGAGGCAGAAGAATATGCTGAAAGGAAGGTTCTGATGCTGAAGAAGCTGAAGGATAAAAGTGAACTTTTCTTTTCCCACTGGGGAACTCAGGACGTATCAGTGTGGGGATGCTACACAGATGCTCAGGACAATGGCTGCTTAACTGGTTTGCTAAAATGGACAGGGAAAAACACCATCTTCTACTTGCTGTTTGTAAAACACTGTAATATATAATTCATCTAATCTTCACAAAGCCCAGTGGTAAAAATGGAGCAAGGACTTTTACCTCCATTTCCAGTTCATAATCACAAGTATTAATTTTTCCAAATATCTTCGGGGAACTTGATTCAACAGGAGAGAGATACAGTACAGCAATGTGGTAAGTAAACAGAGACTGATAACCCAGACAAATAATAAATGAGCTACTTGGGAGACTGAGGCAGGAAGATTGCTTAAGTCCAGGAGGTTGAGGCTGGAGTGAGTCTTTCTGTAGTGAGTCTTGATTGCATCACTGTACTCCAGCCTGGGTGGAAGAGCAAGACCCTGTCTCTAAAATAATAATTATTATTATTACAAATGAATTATAGGAAAAGGAAGTGTCAAGGAAAGCTATATAGAGAGGCAGCATTTGAAATGAGCACTTAAGGATGAGAGATTTGTCAATGAACAATATATACTCAGACCAGAACCAGATACCTACTGGAAAACAGCCCCATTGTGGTTTGATTTTGTTTCTGTGGAGACAGAGTCTCACTCTGTCTCCCAGGCTGGAGTGGAGTGGTACAATCTCAGCTCACGTAACCCCTGCCTCCTGGGGTCAAGCGATTATTCTGCCTCAGCCTCCCAAGTAGCTAGGATTACAGGCATGTGCCACCACGCCCAGCTAATTTTTGTATATATATATTATTACTAAAAAAAAATAATATATATATTTTTTTTTTTTTTTTTTTTTTTGAGACGGAGTCTTGCTCTGTCGCCCAGGCTGGGAGTGCAGTGGCCAGGATCTCAGCTCACTGCAAGCTCTGCCTCCCGGGTTTACGCCATTCTCCGCTGCACTGCCTCCTGAGTAGCTGGGACTACAGGTGCCCACCACCTCACCCGGCTAGTTTTTTTTGTATTTTTTAGTAGAGACGGGGTTTCACCATGTTAGCCAGGATGGTTTCGATCTCCTGACCTCGTGATCCACCTGTCTCGGCCTCCCAAAGCACTGGGATTACAGGCTTGAGCCACCGCGCCTGGCCAATTTTTGTATTTTTAGTAGTGACCGGGTTTCACCATGTTGGCCAGGCTAGTCTCAAACTCTTGACCTCAGCTGATCCACCCGCCTTGGCCTCCCAAAGTGTTGGGATTACAGGCATGAGCCACATGACTGGCCAAAGAACTGCTCCATTGTTAAGCAAACCACTCACTTCCCTTACTCAGGAGGTCATTCTTTATTAATGCAACATAGAACCCCTTACTTCTTTGGTGATGGCAGCCATTAAACAAATCTGGATGTCCTCCTGACACACACTGTGGCTGGGCCACGCTGGCTCCCAGGGCTCAGGCAACTGGTTCTCCAGTCTCAGCTGGGGGACTGCCCATGTCCCTTGTCATGCCCAGCCTACCTGCCCAGCCTGTCAAGTGCCTGTATGGACAGCACCTCAGAGGTGATCAGCCTATCTTCTATGCCTCATCCCCAACTTGCCCCACATACTCACACAGACATTCAAAAGCGCTAAATCTAGTTAATTTTACTCATCTGCTCCCTTCTGTGCCTACAAAAGAGACTCAGACAGTATCAGCTTTCTCAAGAATAGTGCATAGGTCACTAGAAGACATCAAAAAACCCTAAACATGTATTTCCCATGATGTATTTGAAAACTGAGAATTTCCTCTAGAAAAATACAGGAATTAGCCAGGAATTAGTAAGACACGGGAAACAGGAAATTGTGGATCCAATCCAGGAGTAGGAAAGGGAGATATGGGATGACCAATGAACAGTAGGCCTTAAGAACAACTGGTCCACATTGGATCAGCCCTAGAAGAGATGTCTCCAGAGAAAAAGTGGCTTGATTAAAAACCTGACATGATGGCACACGGAGGGGAGGGGATAGACCTATTTATTACATGTAATAAAAAATAAACATAAAATAATTTTAGGATTACTTAGATATCTGGTAGATAGGATAAGAAAAAGTTTTTAAAGGCAATTAGAAATTCCAGAAAAATGGGTAGGGCATGGTAGCTCACACCTGTAATTTCACTCCTTTGGGAGGCCAGGAGTTTGATACCAGCCTGGGCAACATAGCAAGATACCATCTCTACAAAAAAATTTTAAGGCCAGGCTCAGTTATTCACGCTGTAATCCCTGCAATTTGGGAGGCCGAGGCGGGCAGATCATGAGGTCAGAGTTTGAGACCAGCCTGACCAACATGTTGAAATCCTGTCTCTACTAAAATTATAAAGATTAGCCGGGTATGGTGGCGGGCGCCTGTAATCCTGGCTACTCTGGAGGCTGAGGCGGGAGAATCACTTGAACCCGGGAGGCGGAGGTTGCAGTGAGCCGAGGTTGCACCACTGCACTCTAGTCTAGGCAACAGAGTGAGACTCCGTCTCAAAAAAAAAAAAAAAAAAGAAAATTAGCTGGGCATGGTGGTGCACACTTGTAGTCTCAGCTATTTGGGAGGCTGTGGCAGGAGGATTGCTTGAGCCCAGGAGTTCAAGGTTGCAGTGAGCTATGAGCTATTACACTCCAGCCTGGGCATCAGAAAGACCCAAAACAAAAACAAACAAACCAAAACAAAAACAAAAACAAAACAAAACCAAAAAAAAAAAAACTAAATAAATCAATCCAGGGAAATGACAAAATATTCAAGGAAGGGCATATTATTCATAGTTTACTACTTGACTATATAGTGAGGCATACTTACTCATTCCTAATCATTAAAACACCAAATATTCATTTAACAAAAGTGATTTCGCTATAATGATGAATGTGTTTGAGGAACAAGGGAAGGTGGTTCAGGAAAACTAAACAAACATCTACCACACAAAGAAGTCACCAGATGCTGTCTAAAGCAGATGGGTCAAGAAACTGTAGCAAAAGCACATTGGTAAATATATGGCAGAAACTACTAGAAGAAGCCACTTAAACTGAAA